TACAATATTGAAGAAAGAGATTTTTTCCTCAATGAAATATGTTGGTCAAGGATGTTGATATAAAAATCATTTCAAGTTTTTGAAAACATGATTACTTTTTATATAATTTTGTGAGAAATATAGGCTATTTAAACAATTATTTTCTCAAAAATGTCTTTAAATCTTTTCTTGAAATTTCCCCCACAAATAGAATAAAGGATGCTTAAACAACTAGTGCAGATCTCATTTACACATTTAACTCACTAAATTTTTCAATATTCCAACAATTAGAAATAAAACAAAAAAGTATGTGCTGTTGTAACGCCAATAGTTTTGGAATTTCTTCTCTTCCTTTACAAGATCTTTTATCTTACTTGTTCTAGTAGCACTTGTACTTTTTGAAGTTGGCAGTATAAGAGGGGAATAAAAATATGGGAGGGGACATATCTGTCCCAGCAGCGATCTCCATGAACATGGCACATGAAAATCAAGAATTACGTATATCTTCGTTGACATGGCACCACGGATAAAAGCAATAACAACCCAAAGTACACAATGATTCTGCAGGCAATCTCAAAACACTTTCTTTTGGCAGAATAAGTTTTCAAAAACAGTTTTCTAACTGTAAAGATCCTTCCATTTGAAATAAGTCATTTTATAACTGTGCTGGCACACTACAAATGATAATTTTCCAACATTCTTACTTTATGTAGTTACTCTGAACTTCAAACTAAAAATTTATTGTAGTTTTGAAATCAAAAAGTATTGATATGTATTTTTGAGTTTTTCTTTTTGCTATGGGTGGCCCTTTAAAAGCGTTGTCATGAGATAATAATTTTGTTAAAACTAGAATTGCAGAAATTTATATAATTCATAGATATACAATAAGCTATAAAAAAGATAATTTAAATTGTATAAAATTTTTACAGTTTAAATAAAAACTATAATAATGATTATACTCATCTGCTCCACTTCTGTAAATGGCAGAGTGATTACATGATTTTCACCAAGCTTCTTACATTAAAGATTACTACTAGCCCTTTTAGAGGTTCAAAAATCCAGACAATTTCGTATTTCGAATGGAGTTTGGTCCTAATTGATTGACATCATTGACATTCTACTGTATTTTCAATTTCATAATTTACACTTCAAAATGAGCCTAAACAAAAAGTTGTTGTATATATAAATAGAAATACATTGTAACACTATATGTTTCTGTTAAGGGTGTATATTTCTACACTTTCTTTCTAAGATTATTGTTCCATTAGTCAATATGTATTGATGAAATGTAACAGCTGCCTGTAATCAATGAGATAGGGCAATGAAAGAGAACAAAGAAATTTCATTCTTGAGATATTTTACACATTTCTTAGAGTGCATACTATTGTAAGCGAATGTCAAAGGTAGTAGTTCAGTATTGTTTCAAAATTATTTTTGAATTCCACACAAAATATTTTATTAATTACTCATTTCTAATATTCAGTATGCTTTAAATCTATTATTTACATTCAAATCAACACTCTGTTAATTTATATTTCATAACAGGTATTTTATTAGAACAATCCTCATTTATCTGGAAGTGGAAAATAAATTTTTAACATTTTAATTTTCAAAACTCTCAAATATGCTCATGCTAGCCCGCTCTAATTACCATTTGGACTAGACTCTGATTTCATTGATCATGCCAATTTACGTCAAAGACAAATTTCTTCACAGACACTGCTGCCATCTTTTACAGAAACATGTGCATGCCTCTTTTCTCTTAAATGAATTGAACATTTTGTGCTGATAAAGATATCAAACAAATAATTTGTAAATGGATGACAAAAAATACAAACGGTTTGATAAGATACAACAATGTTTCTGTGACTAGCCTGATGTACCTCTCGTCATTTTTGTCTTTGAAACATTAAAGCTGGGTCTCATGCAAGCTGTTAGACCCAAGTGACAGTTGATGCCCTAGAATGGGTGAGTGATCCACAAGTACTTTGCGCTGCACTTGAATGGCCTGTTGTGCTCGCAGGAAATCTGTTGAGACAAAAACCATTATGTTTCCTTCTTGAAGGGGGAAAAAAGTACCTTATTTACCCAAATATAAGAGTTTTTCCTAAATATCTCAGTTCAAAAATACACAATCGACTGATAACCGTAGATTAAGCCTTAACTGTTGTGATCTATGCTTTTACTCTGCCTTTCCATGTTAAACTAAATTGCTAATGTAATAAGCTGAGAAGCCAATAAATACCGCACATACCTATAATACCTGCCTATAACACATTATCATTATCATTTTTATTGTTATTATTATTATTGATAATATTATTATTATTATTATTATTATTATTATTATTATTATTATTATTATTATTATTATTATTACTACAACTACTACTATTATTATTATTGCTAACGACAAATTTTTAGAATCCATCGCAGATTGGGCAGGCAATTCAGACCAATATTTTTAATGGTACAATAAAGAGAGAATGTCACATGGCAGGCATTGCAGTAAATTAAACCAATACAACATAGATGCATATCTTTGTCTAGGTGGTAATGGTTAAATGCAACATGAAAATGAACACAAATTGTTGCTGAGATTTTGTTACATGATCACAATGACCCATCTGTGATCGGCTCCTATGTTACCCATGGAAGAAAGATATATGGAAATGTAAGAAATAATAGTTAAAAACTCAATTGCACAAACTTAAAATTAACGATTGTTACAGATGCAGAGGGCACAAACCAGATAGGCCAAAAATCTGGTGTCAGAAAGGAGTGTTCTTAGGGGGGGTCGGATGAAAGTTACAAAAATGCTAATCCAAGGTACAACATTTTCCTAGAGCCTAATTATTCAAGAGGACGATCTAGTATGGGAGAACCAGAAATAAAGTAGAAAATAAATATATAAATAAATTTAAAAAATAATAGGTACAGGTGAAGGTTAAGACAAAAGTGACAATATCACTGATTATGATGGTTTTAATTACACAGAAAATGGTGATAGTTCAGGCTAAAAGATTTCAAATTCTCATCAGTAAGACAATTTTCTATTTTATAATGACTGATTATTAAATAATAGTTAAAATGAAAAAAGTCTCAGAAGTCTTCTTCTAAGTTAGGAGGTCGACATATATTTGGGTAAATACAGTATTTTTTCTTTGTATTTGCCAGTTTGTGTAAGGAAGTTAAAATTAGGAGGGTGAATATAGAAATGAATTTTATTTTTAACAAATATGTTATTTTCTTGAGAAATGAATATTATTTATGTATGTAAAATGAATCTACCATTTCAAATTTTGATTACAAGAAGTGACATCTCATTAGAATGACAATCATTAATGTTTATTTGAAAAGCTGTTTGGACTTCTTTCCAAGTAGTGAGTACTACTATTTTGTACTTACTAACCCTCTCAATTTGAACTTCCTCTTACTGTAATGAATACATGCAAAAGAATGGATTTTTGGATGTTCTGCAGCTTCTCTAATGTAAACAATTTCAAAAATTAAAAATAATTTTATTGCATTATTTTATATCTTTTTATAAGTGAATATAAAATTATATAGGAAATATAATTCAATGTAAAATTGTATACCGGAAAGGTCAGCTAGTGTTGGAGAGATAGCGTTCGTATAACTGCAGCAGGGAAGGTTGTGTTCGTGGGGTGACAATATTCAATGCGGCATTGAAGTTGTCTTTGTTGACAGCCACAGCTTCTAAATCTTGTTCCAAGGCAGCCAAAGCAGCCTCATGGCACACAGCAACCAACTTATGAAAAAATTTAACAATATTAAATGTTAGACATTCAAATCAAATGGAAGAACAGTCCAATTAGTGGTAATAATTCTACAGATTAAGGTAAGATGGAAGTTTAACTGGATTTATAAGATCTATTTAAATTCCTTAAATTTGCTTAATGGTGTAATAGAGTATGAAAAGTTATAAAGGGAATATGGGGAGAATATATATACGTATGATAAAGAAAGAATATGAGGGTCACAATAAATGGTGGGACAGATTTAGATATTGATTTATTTAGTCAAAAAAAAGAGTAAAAACTATATGTGACGTTTGGGGGAGAAGACAATCAGCGCATGTTTTCTTGAGTTCCAGAAGCCCTTCCCGTCATTTTAACTATAAATGGAAGATGAGTAAAAGTTTAAAATAAAGAAATAAAAATAAATTTTAAAAAATCGAGAGATTAGCAATACTTGATAAAATAGACATTTTCATTTCCGAGTTATAGAAAACTTATTTGCATCGGTACATGCATTGCAAGAATGGTTTTTCTGCATTGCTAACAAAATAGTAACTCGTCCTTACCTCTACTCTTACCGTTACACGCAAAAGGAGAGTTCAACAAAACATGCGCATAGTGAAGCTACATTTACGTCCAGAAGCAAAACAAGGGGCCATCACAGCATTTGCTCAATGGATCAGGGAAACTGGACAAAAACCTGATCAAGATGAGGGTCATTGACCTGGAAGCTGAAGTACATTATTTGTTACTAACATATTAAGTCTTTTTAAAAAATGTATGCACTATTTAACAAATGTAAACTAGTTCAATATATACCACTGTTTTGTTAAAATAAATATTTTTCATTTTGATAATCAGTATAGTCTCTAATTGTATAGAAACAGTTATACAGCAGAAAATATTTTACTTTTAACTTAAATTTGTGAACCGACTTCAATTGTTTTACGTCATCTGGCAATGTGTTGTAAAGTAACATACATGTTGGTATGTGGATTTCTGATAGAAAGCTGATGGTACTGACACTTGATGACCATGATTTTTACGACTTGTGTTGTAATTATAAATATCAGTATATCATGAAATATGTTCCCACTATTAAGTAAGTCACTTTTGACAAATATTACAGATTCGTAAATATATATGCAAGGCAATAGTAAGATTCTAAGCTCAATGAAGAGAGGCTTGCAGGAATCACATGGATGGCATTTTTTCATTATTCAAATAATTTTCTTTTGCAATCTAATGGTCTGAGTACTACATGATGAGTTTCTCTAGAATTTTATGCCATATGTCAGGAGGGAATGTACATAGGCAAAACACACGCTGCATCAAGGCTGACAGGGATAAGATAAGGGATAAGAAAAACAAAATAAGGGATAGGTAAATGCAGGAAGGGAGAATTAGAGAAAATTAAGAAAGATTATAAACTGTTTTGAAGAAGAAAAAAGGAAGAGAGAGGAATAGGCATATGGTAGGGATTGAGAGTGGGAGATTGGAGATTCAGGTTTAGAAGAGAGTTAACAGTGAAAGATGGAAATGAACAGAGAATGGGAACAAGATAATGCCATAGTATAATGGGAAGAATTTTTTAAAGAACAATGAAAGCAGAAGGTGGGGAAGATGAGAGGGCAAGGAAGAGAGATGACAATGTCAGGGTGAAGCATTTACAGGGTATGGAGTTAAAAAAGTGATTAGTAAGTTAAAGGTAAAGAAAATATGATGGAATCTCAAGTGAATTCTGTTTTATGAGGGTGAAGTGATTGGAAGTGCAACAGTCAAAATGAATGAGATGTTGAAAGAGAAATAGATATCTAGGTCTAGAAGAATGTCCTAGGAATCCTTAATAGTTCTGATGCATAAAGAAGAAAGCTACAAACAGGTAAAACATTACAGGGAATTTACCCTCATATCATCTCTGTAGTTTTCACTACAATTCTGAGAAACAGGTTGGAGAAGGATATTGAAGAGAGAAGTGTGGTACTTGACAATCAAGTGTGATTTAAGAAGAGATAGGGGTGAGAGAAAATATGTCTTAAAATATATAGTGCGAAGAACTCAAAACAACGAAATAGAGAAATGGATTTTTGGATGGATGGATGAAAATTTTTTTATAGACTTGAAATGTATGCAACAAGATACATAATAATAACGAAAAGCAAAGGAATAAATAACAGACTAAGATAATATGGAGTTGATTTTTGAAAGAACCAGATGTAGAGTGAAGGTGGATGGGTGGTAAACTTATCTTCATACTTTTTTAAATTTTATTTCTAATTAAAAAATGAAACCATAAAAAAAAAATTCTTTAAAAATAAGAGAAATTTGAAATATAAGATTTTTTCAATTTTATTTTTATTATTTTTTTATTTTTTTTTTTTATTTTTAACATCTTCAATTGACGCAATATGTCTCCAAGCCCTGAGGTGTTGTGTGCTTTGGACTTTTGGAGTAATCCTCCATTTATATCAGCTTCAGAGTAATCCTACATTAATATTTTAATATGTCATATCCGTCACGTCTCATTGCAGCCAGTTGTCAAGAGGACCGCCAAATAGTATCTCTGCGTACGCGCCTCCTACTACACACCCCTGCATCACTACCAGCAGACAGAACTGGGAAGGAGATAGGATTGGGTTAGGGTTTAGGATGCATCATAGGGGTTGAACTAGCCTCTGTGAAGCATGCAAACTCATTTTGTCATAACAAATTTCACATGAGATTCTATGGGATTTAATATGAGAACATTTCAAACATTTAATTTTGAAACAATATTCTCTTAAATTTGCTAATGTTCGATAGGAAATTAAGTTATAAAGAAATTAGCACATGTACATCCCATTCACAATATGTTGTGTTGTATTTAACATTCTATGAATATTTAATAATTCAGAAATAGTTCTGATGAATGCCACAGTTTCTATGAAAAACTGTACCTTATTTAGAAAAATCCTTACATCAACATGTTTTTAGTCATCAGCTAAAAGAAACAATGTACTTAAATTAACTCACAATTCACTCAAGGTAAAACAGGACAAACAAAATTTTACCTACCTCTGCTCCTGAATATCCTTCAGTGCATCTAGCAAGTTCATCTATGTCCACATCATTCGCTACTGGCATATGCTGCAGCTGAATTGAAAGGATATCCGCACGTGTCTCACAATCAGGCAGTGGTACATAGACAACTCGATCTAATCGTCCAGGTCTCAGCAGAGCCTGCAAGTAGCATAGTAAATTCTCTGACGGTAAATATCATATTTAACTCATTTGCTTTCACTTTTTTCCATTCTGCATTAGCTCTGAACTAAGATTTAAATCCTTCTGACTAACTATGAGTTCATTTATCTCAGACACAAAACAGGACATTGAACATAGGCACTTCGAGAGAGAGCGACGCGAGAGAGAGCTGAGAGAGAGAGCGAGAGAGAGCGCTCCGAGACGAGAGAGCTGAGAGAGAGCCTGATTAGAGACGAGCGAGAAGAGCAGAGAGAGAGAGACGCAAAGAGACCAGATGAATGAGAAAGAGACAGAGAGAGAGAAAGAGACGAGAGAGAAGAAAGAGATAGAGAGTGAGAGAGACACGATGAGAGAGAGAGACAGGACCGAGAACGTAAGAAAGAAAGACACAAGAGAAAGAAAAGAAAGGGTAAGGAAGAAAGAGAAAGAAAAGAAAGAAAGAAAGGGAAAGAAAGGAAGAAAGAAAGAGAAAGAAAGAAAAGAAAGAGAAAGAAAAGGAAGAGAAAGAAAGAAAGAGAAAAACAGAAAAAGAGAAAGAAAGAAAGAGAAAGACAGAAAAAGAGAAAGAAAGAAAAAGAAAGAAAGAGAAAGACAGAAAAAGAGAAAGAAAGAAAGAAAAAGAAGGAAAGAAAGAAAGAAAAGAATGAAAGAAAAAGAAAAGAAAGAAAGAGAAAGAAAGAAAGAAAAAGAAAGAAAGAAAGCGAAAGAAAGAAAAAGCGAAAGAAAGAAAAAGAGAAAGAAAGAAGGAAGGAAAGAAAGAAAAAGAAAGGAAGGAAGGAGGGAGAACATTTTTCATTTGAAATATGAGAATATCATTCCAAGAAACACAATGAACGATAGAGAATTAACACTATTTCTACATTTTACCTCTGTCAAATTATCATTTAATTGAGTGCAAACAAATTACCAATTGACATAGCTTGAATGAAATAGCACGAAACTTACACAAACCGCAAATGCAATTTATTTAGCATGATATCAGAGTGAATGCAGAACTGATGTGCTTCTGATAAGGCAAAAACCATTCTTCACATGGTGGAGATAACAAGAGAGGCGGATGGATTAGTAAAATTATTACAACGTAACAATAAATTACTGCAAGTGATGAACATGACAGGGATATGAAACAAGTAATACTTACTTTATCTACACGATCAGGGCGGTTAGTAGCAGCCAGAATTGTAACATCTCCAAGGGGTTCTACTCCATCCAGTTCCGTGAGCAATTGTGCAACTACTCTTTCTTGTACACTACTTCCACTAGTTCCGCCCACTCCAGCTCTCTCTCCTCCAAGTGCATCTAGCTCATCTAAGAAAACTATTGCTGGGGCTACTTGGCGGGCTCTGCGAAATACTTCACGGACAGCTCGTTCAGATTCTCCAACCCATTTGCTAAAAAGCTCTGGACCCTACCAGAAAAAAATTCAATATTTCTCATTTACAATTGTCTGTTTAAGACCACTTTTACACATTAACTCTGTACAGAGTTTACAATTTTGTAAAATTTCACTGAGAGAGTGAAAATCAGACACTGAGTAAACTTTGAAAATGAAAATGAACAGAAAATATAAATTTTAATGTTAATTCAATTTAATGGTGTCTTATTTTATGTGGCAAGACTCAGGCCTACAGACCTGCTCTTCTGACTGACCATGCAAATTTCGCCACACTCCCTTACCATCTAGCGGAAAAAGAAGGTATCACTTGGGTGATATATCAGTTGATATAAATTTAGTTCAGAGGCTTCTTGTGGACTTGAGGATCTTTTACATACAATACATCTAGAACATGGGATGGGTGGCTTTACTTCACCCTCGAAGGAAAGCATACACAGGATTTTTTCGTCCTTAAAAATCCACATCTTCAATCAGGTTTGAATCCGCAAACTAGAGTTTAACAGCCAATGTCCTCTTAATAGTTCATTTATTAGGTCAAAGGGAAAACAATAGAATAAATTATGTGAAACAGCTCATCACTAGTGACCAGATATTATCACATATTCTTTCTTTAAAAATCTACACCTTAATTTAAACAGAGTTTAAGTGAATCTCTAGGCACCTATTTAACCATGGATGGCACCACCAGGGAGAACATGTTTCTCCCCTCCAATGTTTTTTTGGTACATGAGGCATATTGGATGAGAGTAAAGAGGTTAATGATGTAAAGATTATAAGTTCCTGATGGGTGAAGATTAAGTCATGTGATTGACAGAAATTACAATAAGCAATGACCCGTGTGTATCGATAATGTCCGATAATATTTGTTTTAATTTTGAATACAACTTGAAGAATACATTGTTAACAAGACAAGAACATTGACACAACTAGAAAAAAAATTTATGTAGCGATGATATTTCTTAGCTCCATCAAATGGCAATGTTTCAGTGTCGGTGCACAAAAGGAGGTTAAATTTTGCCCCCACCAACCAACAAAATTGTTCAGTTAAAACAGGTAAAGAAACCCTTGGGGGAAAAAAACAACAAGAACAACAACAAATTTAAAAACTTTCGAAACATTCTAATGATAAAAATAAAAAAAAATTCAAATAAATTAACAAAACTTTTAATGCTACATTTTGAAATATTTATTAAAAACTCAAATAATCACAACACATGCATAAATCTCATATGAAAAACAACAAAAGTACAAAACAACATAAACAGACAATAAAATTCGAACATCATTAGCAGTCACTCACAGGTCAAATTTCATCACTCCCACACACATAAAACCGACAGAAGTACCTCAGAGACAGCATTGCCATTGTCTCTGCAGTAATTCTGTCTGTGAAGACATATGTCTAAGACTTAACTTTGGTGGATTTTTGTCTTAAGCTAAACAGTTGAGTTTAATTCAGCCTCTGTTTGCAGGAGAATTGTAGAGTGGAAAATCATAAGGGCTAAGTAAGAAAATCAAAAAACTTGAAATATAGAGAAAAATTCTGAGAGAAGACATTACTGAACATAATATTACAAACAATACTTAGTGAGTCATCTTTGAACTATGTGCAGTCACTGTAGAAAGCAGCCCTTTATTCAGATCGTTAGTACTGTTACAGAGCTCCACTAATAAGAATTTTTTTTCTTTCTTTAATGACACTTAGCCTCTTCTGACTTTCCACTCTTCAATTCTACTCTAACCAGTAGTTTATCACATTATTTCCTCTATGTAAAGACATTGTTGGGTGCATTACATGCTTTTTGTAAATATTTTGATAAACCTTTATTTGTATGTTATTTAGTGATTCTAATGTTGAATCATAAACTCCACCCAAGCTAATATACCAAAAATTGCAACTGCCCAGAATAAAGCATAGTGTATTAATAGTTGATTAGTTTCAAGAATCAATCTCAGATTACTGAATACATAAATAAGATATCTACTCTTCTGTATCAGTTGCAACACTTGGTATTTCCATTTCAAATTTTGATCAATATGTACTTCCAAATATTTAAAAACTTCAACTCCCAATATATTTGGACAATCACAGTCTAAATTATCATAGCTTGATATGTGAAGCTTAACATCACATTCCTCTGGTACACTGTCCAGATAACTATCAAATGTTATAGATGCAGTCTTTTCTATATTTAAGCTCAGAAAATTATGACTTAGCCATTTCTCAATCAAAGATAACTTAACTTCCAATTTATTTATCTCATCCTCCCAGGATTTACCCTTAATAATTATACTTGCATCTTTGGCAAAAAATATCTATCACCTTTAGGCAAAATATTAAAAATGTCATTCAGAAAATATAAATAAAAATGGTTCCAGAATTGTACCTTGAGGCACACTCACATTTCACTGTCATCTCCTAACTGTACTGTACATTTATACCCACACGTTGTGTCCTATTTGATAAATAGCTTTTGATTAATTTGTAAACAATTCCTCTGAACCTATAATATAACAGCTTTTTATTGGAGTCATCGATATGGTGATACAATCCCGTTCGAATGGCCTAGTACCTATCAATGTGCTGAGCAACTGACTGATGCTACTGTATCCTCTTTGACAAGAACTGTACTGTGTGTGTAACTGTTGAAGTGAACGTATGTGGCGTTGCAGGCTAACAGTGTTTTGTGGGAGCTGTAATCTGGGTGTGATTAGGAGATCACCTGTATGTTAATCACTTAGCATGTGTACTGTCCATAATTCCAACACGTTATTGGCCCAGAATAATGTGAATAACTACATGAGGATAATTAGAACATGTGCACTAAGTCAGGTTACCGTTTTCCTTTATTTGTATTAAAATAACACGTACCTACGCCAATAAAATAAACACTAGCGTAAGGTTTGACAATCTAAATAAGGAAAACTATGATACCTAGAAAATACAGATGCGTGCAATCCTGATTAAGAACGATGTTTGGGGTTACGTGAACACTAAAGCAAAACCAGAAGCAACAAGTAGCAACGCCGTCGCCATTAAACAGTGGATGGAGTCGACTTGAAGGCACAGTCAGACATCATCCTCGCCATAAGTCCGAACGAAATAAAGCAAATCGAGACTTCGCGCGCTGTATGGAGAAAATGAGAAGAAATCTATCTGTTGAAATTACGCATTGAAATTTCGCATTAATGAGTTTTTAAAAGAGAAGTCGGTTGGTGGTGCTGTTGAAAAGTTACTGAAGTTTGTTGAGACTCAATACGGACGTTGACCAAAGGTTTTCCATTGTGATGGCGGGCTGGAGTTCAAAAATGAGAGTCTACGAGTCATTTCAAGGTCAATGGAGTGCAACTGGTAATAACAAATCCTCATTAGCATTGAGCAGAACGGGTGTTGGCTAAGAAGTTGCCGTCGTGTGGTTTGAAGCAGTGAACACTGCTGTCTATCTTCTCAATCAATGTACTTACAGCACTTGCACGTATCTCGGGTCCAATTGCTTTGTGCAAATTCCGCAGTAGAAGCGTCGCAAGTGGGATGTGAAGGGAAAGCCAGGAGTCTTCGTTGGCTATCCTCATGACATTGACGGGTACAGAGTCTGGATTCGAGGAAGATAGAACGAAGCAAAAGTGTTGTTCTTGAACCAGAAACAATGAGAGGTATTCCTGTTATAACAAAGGCGCAAAACGCTGTGGCAGCTGCGCCAGTGCGAGGCGAATATGAGCCAGATTACTATGGCATTGCCATGACAGCGGCCAAGCGGCGCGCCGAAGTGACAACGGGAGAAGCCGGTGGCCCACTGGCACCAGCCGGCAGGACGGCGTTCTCAGTAATGGGAGGTACTGGAAGGCGCCGCCAGCTGGCAGGGCAGCGGCGGCGGCGGCCGGGCCGCCCGCGGATCCGGAAGCGCGGGAAGCTTTCTCCCTTTCTGGAAATCGCCGAGTAAGTTTAGGCGGAAAAAGAGGGACTCTTCGCAGGCTCCGGGACTATAAAGCTGTCTGCCAGCGGGGCTAGAGTCAGTCATTGAGAGTCAGAGTCAGAGTGCAGCGAGAGAGTTCTAGCGTGTGTAGTAGTGGCCGAGTTGTACGAAGTGTAACGTAACGTTGTAACGTTGATTTCTCCTGGTGTTTTTATGGACTAGTGCTTGTTAAAGGACATTTTTGGAAAACGGAGAACTGGCTTTTGTACTCGGATTATCCTTTGGCTCTGGATAATAAACTAATATAGTTTAGATGAACTGTTGTCTTTTCTTAAGAGTTCCTGAATATACAACACAGATGATCTCAAAGAAAAGGGGCGAGGTAGTGTCCTGGAGCAAGTAGAGCCTGAACCAGAAGCAGATGTTCAGCCGACCAAAGAGCAATTTGTTAATCCTGAGTCTGCTACTGCGGAGAGTTACAAGTTACAAGGAGGCGATGGCATCTCGCGACAAGGAGTTCTGGAAAGGTGCAATGAAGGAAGAGGTTCAGTCATTGCTGGAGAACACTACTTACATACTGGTAAAGCTACCTCCTAATCGTAGTCATCACGAATCGTTGGGTGTTCACGAAAAAGAGAAATCTTAATGGCAACTCTTGGTTTGTCTGAGAGCACTGCTGATCCCTGCTTATTCGTAAGAAACGTCAACGGGTATAAACTTTTGGTAGTTTTGTATGTCGACGATGGGTTTGCGGCAGCGACAAGGCAAGTGACGGAAAGAAGTTCTTGAAGCAGTTGGAGTCGTGTTTAAAAATCACTGAGAAGTTTGGTTACTTTCTGAGCATGCAGACTTCTCGACAAAGACGACGAAGATGGGTCAATTGTGATTCACGGTTACGCTGACGCGGTACGTTCAACATGAGTGAAGCTAATCCTATGTCAACGCCTATTGATCAGTATCTTCAAGATTCCGGAGATAAAATACTGACATTGCGTTTTATCACGAAGCGACTGGTTGCCAGATGTACCTGGCAGAGACCACAAGACCGGTCATCGCTTATGAGTGTCGCATCATTTGTGAGCTTCGCATCGCAATTCTTGGAGAAGCCGGAGATGAGGCACTGGGCCTTGGCAAAGACGATCGTGCGGTACATAAGAGGGGCATAGGCAATGGGAATTCGCTATTCAGCAGAGAAGCTGCAAGTCCAGCACGTTACAGTGCTGACGAGTGATGCTGGTTACGTGAGTGATCAGCAAATACGGAAATTAGTAAGCGGAATGGTCAGTATGTTCTGTGGCGGAGCTATTAAATGGTCGCGTAATTTAATCTGATATTAAGGAAACAGTGTGTCAGTCTCTCGACAACAGAGGCTGAATATGTGGCTGCGTGCGTAGCAAAATAAGCAGGCTGAGAAGACAGTTTCAAGACATTGTTTTTAAAATCAGTGCCAACATTGCTAGTCGATAGTGCGAGTGCTAAGAAACTATCTAAAAACTCAGTTTGATAAGAAAACCAAGCAATCGATGAGTGCTATTATTAATTGCAAGATCAAGTTGTAAATAGTGCTCACAGCGAGAACGACCTTTACATCTTCGGTACACTAGAGACCGTTGGGTGCTGGAAGATTCGGGAGGGCAAAGATGTGCCCAAAGGATCGGAGTGCAATTCCCTTGAAGACTGGTACATCCGTCTCCGATATTTGAACATTCCGCATTTATGCGACTCTGTGAAGAATGGATATTTGCAAGGAATCATTGTCAACAATATCAACCAAGATCTCGAATGCAGAGTTTGTCTGCACGGGAAGATGTACTTCCAAAGGTTTCAGAACGTTTATCGGCGGCGGGTGATCTGATTCATTCCCACATGTGTGAACCAATGCGCGTGATGTATGGGAAGCACAAGTACTTCTACAAGCTCATTGTCGACCATTCACGCAGGTGTGCGGTAAGATTTCTGAAGAACAAAAGCGAAGCTATCAAAGAATGGACAGCTTCAGAGCCGCCATGGACACTCAGCAGGGGAAGAAGATAAAGTGCCTCCAGACGGAAAATGGGCTGGAGTACAAGAGCCAAGAGGTCGAACTTCTGAAGAGTCACTGCATCTCATGGAAGTTAACAGCACCGAACAATTCGAAGCAAAATGTGTAGCCGAAAGGAAGGGACGCAGATGGACACGGCAAGGTGTTTAATACAATCAGGACTGCCCTCCTCTCTGGGCTGAGGCAGTGAACACAGCAAAGTTCATCCATAAACGATGCACCTCACGAAAAGCACCGCACTCTCATATCTGCAACTGCTCTCAAAACACTGGCTTATTCCCAGACATATTCAAAACGGCAAAAATGAAACACTTGTTTAAAAAGGACAATAGTTATGGTCCAATGAACTACAGACCTATCTCCCCGCTATCAGGATTTTCAAAAATTCTGGAAAGGCTTTTCAACGATAGACTCAAACAGTTTTAAATGCAAATAATGTCCTCACAAATGCCCAAAATGGTTTCAGGTGTACACCCACATACACTATTTTCTCCTTTTTAAATTACATACTTGTTGCACTAAATCCACAGGCAATTCCTATTAACCTTTTCTTAAGATTTGTCAAAAACCTTTGACATTATTGACCATCACATTCTTTTAACAAAATTAGAAATGTGATTCAAGGCATTGCAGGCCAATGGATCAAATCATATTTATCAAACCATAGCCAAGTAGTTCCCCTCCACCACACTAAAGAAAACAAAATCTCCTCATACTACTCCTGCCTTCAGATGATAAATTGTTGAGTGCTGCAAGGATCCATCCTTGGACCTATACTATACCTTATATACTTAAATGACATGCTTTTGGCTTTAAGGAATAACAAAATTACTTTGTTTGCCAAAGCAAAAACACAACAATCATTTCAAGAAGAAACTAGTAAAATGGTTTCAAGACAAACTTATCATAAACACCAGCAATTTCATGAATCCCTGATCCAAATAAAAACTCTCACAGCATTTGCTCGTCAATAATAATCATGTAATGATATCTTATGAAATTACCTTTCTCGGTCTCACAATCCAAGAAAACCTAAAATCAATGCTCACATCTCTAAACTTAACAAGAAGCTCACCAAATCTTGCTATGTCCTATCAGGTCATCCTCCAGCATTGAGACACTTTGGGCAACGTATTTTTCAAATGTGCACTCGCACCTAAAATATGGAATAATATTTTGGGGAAATGCCGCTGAAAGCGCTAGTGGGTTTAGCACTATCCCTACCAAAAGTTTACAGGAAAGATTTATAGCAGTTTTTAAGAAAATCTTGTTTTTGTAATTTTTTTAAACTGCAAATATTGCACGCAAATAATTCAATGTTTCAATAAATGTGCATAATCTTCACGAAAGAACCAATTTCAGGCAACAAATTTCAATGGAAGAAAATTTTTTTCTATCTTTAATTTTGTAGTTGAAGGAAGATGGCGAAAAAGTTCAAACTTTTGCAATTTTTTAAAATATAGTGTTACTCATGAAAATTACACCCATGTCACTTTTGTAAGTGTATTTTACTCTATTTTTACAAGAATTTTAAAGAAAATATTTTGAGTAAATTTTGAACATGTGCTACAGGTTTCATGTAAAGTACCTCCAAACTTTGAAGAAAGTTTGTACACGCAGACAGACGGATGGACATTTGAAGAAAGAAAGAAAGAAAAAGGGGGAGCACTATTATGGTATTAGCGGACCCCAAAATGTGTATTTCTGTTGAAATCTTGAAATCAATTTTCCACAGCAATACATAACTTTTTGAAAGTTGAAATATTTTAAGTAAAGAGGTGTTCTATCTTCTATTTCAAGAGAGGGCAAGTGGAGCAGTCTATGATAATTTACGTTTATTGTTCGTAAGTGCCATACAAAACTCCCATACAGTCCAATTGCTTCATGGGCAATCTAAAGCAAATGCCAGATATAAATCTTGCACATTTGATATTTTTCAGTCCGATATCTATACGTCTGTGTGTTGTTTTTTTTATGATGTGATATTTTGTTATTGAGCATCATAAATGCATGGCAGAATCACTCAGTTGATACGATGCTCTATCCCCTTCATTTATTCATTCAGAGTTGATGGCCACAAGTGCAAATTACATCACGGAAAGGTTGTTGCTCTTGTGGATCACTGAGAAACCACTGTTGGCATCACTACATGACTCTCACAACGTCTAGTGATGAATAGAAAAAACTCCTGCTAAAAATGGCTATTACCTTAATTGATATGAAGTTGAGCTTACTCTCTGTTGCAAGAGCTTTTGCTACAAGAGTTTTACTACATCCCGGAGGTCCAAACAACAATACACCACGTGGAGGTTTGATACCCAGTCGCTGGAAAGCTTCTGGGTGCTTCAAAGGCCACTCAACAGCCTGACGTAGTTGTAACTTCAGAGCTCTTTGACCTCCTACATCGGTCCATCGCACCTGCAAAAGACACATACGTAATATTATTACTAGCTGGACCTGTATGAACATTCTGCCCAAAGAAAATATAGTTTAAAAATATGAAAATAGCTTAATTCAGGATCACAACTTTGACAGCCCCTGAACTGTATGTTAAAACATTATAGCACCCTTGGGAGTCATATGAAATAGAATAACCATACTAGATTTTGTGTCAATGGCTTCTTATAAACAATGAAAAAAACGTCATCTCTCCTTAGCATATTATATGAGGCAGGGATTGACTAATCTATTTCAGTTCACATTAATGGAATTTTTAAGAATGTGAGAAAAAGAAAATTAACCTGAATTTACTTCCAACTATAACGTAACTTTCTGAAGGAACACATTAAATTCCTATATACTTCAGAATAAAACACATAACAATTCCACTCACATTTGGAATATGAACTAGTGCTTCTCTCATTGCACTAGGCTTGACTTGTGTCAACGCCCACTGCATGTCAGGTAAATTAATAGTTCTCCGACTAGCAAGTGCATGGTGTGCAGCTTGAGAACACAGGGCTGCTAAATCAGCACCAACAAATCCATGAGCCGCTTGAGCAATTCCTAGTGTACAAAATAAAAAATATATCACCACAGAACGTAAGAATGGATGTAATATTGTTACTTGATAATTAATTAGTACAAGGAAGATGCTCCTAGAACGTGTATTTAATTGTCTCAGTGATTAATCTTTAGGTCATGATTCAATTGCAAATTTTGTGAGAAAGGTTTCCCAATATTTCTTACTTGAATTCTTAAGTTTAGGTTAAAAAAGAATTACTATTCACAGAATGTAAAACTGTGTAATTTTAATTTTTTTAATGTATTAATATATACAATGGTTCAAACAAATAACTATATCCCCCTCTCACTTCTATGGATGAAAATGAGGCATCTCCAAATTTAATAATTCCTTCTGTTAAAAGTACAGATGGCTCATTTGAATTAATGGTGATTCTCCCTTTGTTCTTATGGTATTCCAGTCAGTGTTCACAGTTTTGTAGATTAAAAATGAACCACAGGTGGAATCTAAAGGGACAAAGGTAAATGAAAGTTATGTACCTTTAATGTCACTCTCATTGAGTGAGTGAGTTGTGGTGCTTAGCAGTTTATGCAAAATGTGAACCCGAGCACCAGGAGTAGGTACAGTTATTTCAATTTCTCTGTCAA